GCTGCAGTCCCTCAGTCATTGACCAAACGGTGGACAACACTATGGAGTCTTTAAAATCTGCATTAAATGCAGCAGCTCCTTTAAAACAGAAAACTATTAGGATTAGATCATCGTCGCCCTGGTACAGTGTTCAACTCCACACTTTAAAACAGGACATAAGAAAATTGGAGAGGCTATATCGCCACTCCCATTTGGAGCCTGTCCACAGGGAGTGGAAAGCAGGTCTCCGAAACTACAAGAATGCCCTTCGCAGGGCTCGAACTCAATACTATTCAACTTTAATAGAAGCCAATCAAAATAACAGTAGATTTTTGTTTAGCACCGTCGCTAAACTCACAAACTGCCATAGCGCAATCGAGCCTAAAATTCCAAGCTCACTGAGCAGTGTCAACTTTCTCCATTTCTTTAATAATAAAATTACATCCATCCATGACAAACTGGAGGAGGTTACTCCTGCTGTTGGTAGTGGACAGGCTGAAGCGGCATACTTGACTTCCCACTTAGACTCTTCAGTGGGCCTCAATAAATTCATGGCTGTGAGCCAAGCAGAAGTGATCTCTGTGGTCACATCCTCAAAAGCCTCAACTTGCATGTTAGACGCAATCCCAACTTGGCTCTTCAAAGACATACTTCCTTTTATAATTGAGCCTATGGTAAATATAATAAACGCATCCATACAATGTGGCTATGTCCCACAAGCGTTTAAAACCGTACTATAGACCAATCTCGAACCTCACTTTCATATCTAAAATCCTGGAAAAACTTATAGCTGAGCAGCTTTGCTGCCACCTGCAGGAAAATAATATGTTTGAAATCTTTAAATCAGGATTCAGAGCTCATCATAGCACTGAAACGGCACTAGTCAAAGTCACAAATGACTTACTACTAGCTGCTGATAATGAATAAGTGTCAGTGCTGGTCCTACTGGACCTTAGTGCTGTATTTGACACAATAGACCACAGCATTCTACTGCAGAGCCTTTCATTGATCAGCTAAAAGTGCTTATTCAAATTTCCCACAAGGCATGTGTTGTTTTGTCTCCAATGTTTGCAGGCACCTGCGCTATCTTTGTCCTTCACATTCCACCACCACACACGGCCACTCAAGGCCGACACTGGACTCTTATCTATCTCAGACTCACAACCCATAACACCAGTTCCAGTCCCCCCCCCCCCCCCTACATGTCTGCCTCTCTCTCTTTTTCAGTCTATGGTGGTCTTCCGCTCCACCTCCCCCACCCACACTCCCCTCTGACGCGCTATATTGGACGAGGCGGGCCAGAGTGATGACTTCCCATTAAAAAGATCCGCATGTTTTTCCACATGTACCGTGTCTCTCCCCATGTTTGTTGAAATATATGTCTGTTTTGCTCTATGCTGTTGAATAACTGTTATTCTACTGTTTGTCGCATGGCGCCGTAAAAATGGCGCCGTGGCAAGAGCTCTGGTGTGTGTCGTCTTCTGGTGCACACCGGGGTAGTCTTGCACAGTTTTCCAATGTGGTTTTACTGCAAATGGCAAATAAATGAATCTGAATCTGAATCTGAGAGGCTAGAATGTGATATAGGTCTTAGAGGAACAGCCCTTGGCTGGTTTAAATCCTATTTATCAGATCGGTATCACTTCGTCAACGTAAATCAGAACTCGTCGCCTTATTCTGGAGTGGAATTTGGTTAGGAAACATTATTAAAAAGCATGGAATTAATTCCCACTGCTATGCAGATGACACACAGCTTTATCTGTTTATGAAGCCAAATCAGACAGATCAGCTAGAAAAGCTTAGTGCCTGCATAAAGGACCTTAAAACGTGGATGACTCTTAACTTCCTACTTCTCAACCCGGAGAAGACAGAAGTGATCCTACTCGGTCCGAAGCGCCTGCGTGACTCCCTTTCTAACCAGATAATCACTCTCGATAATGTCGGTATTATACCCAGTAACACTGTGAGGAGTCATTTTTGACCAAGAACTCTCCTTCAAGGCTTATATAAGCCAAGCGACTAAAACGGCGTACTTCCACTTACGGAACATCGCTATAATTAGGAATCTCCTTCCTAAAAGTGACGCGGAAAAACGTATTCACGCTTTTGTCACCTCAAGACTTGACTACTGTAACGCTTTATTGGCAGCATGCCCTAAAACCTCTTTGAAGAGCTCGTTCAGAATACAGCAGCTAGGATCTTAACAGGTACCAAAAGGAGGGAGCACATAACTCCGGTGTTAAAATCACTCCACTGGCTCCCTGTGGAGTACAGAATAAAGTTTAAAATCTTCTCTTAACATATAAAGCCATAAATGACTTGGCTCCTTCCTATCTCCAAGACACGTTAGTGTCATTTCAACCAAGCCGAGCGTTGCGCTCACAAAACGCCAGACGCCTGGTGGTTCCTAAGGTCTCAAAAATCACTGTTGGCGGCAGAGCGTTTAGCTACCAAGCTCCTTTACTGTGGAATCAGCTTCCCATTTATGGTAAGGAAGCAGATACGGTCTCCACATTCAAGGCCAGGCTTAGAGCACTCTACTTTAATTTAGCATATAATTAGGTAATATATAATATATGGTGTATATATATTATATATATATATGCTGTATTATGTTATATATTATGTTATATTTTATACAAAATATGTATTATGTTGTGTATTGTGTTATGTTGTATATTATGTTATATATTATGCTGTATGTTATGTTATTTTATTATATATAATATACATAATATGTATGGTAAATGTGATATATATGATATATAATATATAATTAGGTTTGCCTGGATCGGTTTGCACACCTGGTGTGCAATCCATGAATCTTGGTCCTGTAACCTAGGCTAGCCTAGCCGTGGCTGCTGCTACTGTCTCACCTCCTTCCAGATACGCTCTCTTTATTCAAGGCTAGGTTTGAAACAGTCCTCTTTAGTTTAGCATATGGCTAGGAAGGTAAGACTCAGGGAAGGCTAAACTCCTGTCAGTTTGCTGGGAGAAGTATGGTAACTTGAGCACTATCCTCTCCTCCTTCCTACTTTATCTGTTTAGTATTATTAGGATTTTGACTGTAGTTTGTTCATTGCTATTCACTCGCTGTCCCATTGTCTGTTTCATGGTACGATGACGGGATCTCTGAGCCTGGCCTCCTCCATCTACACCTGCGGACTGCCCCGCCCGACCCGCCTGCGAGTGCTTCAGTCCTGCACCGGACCTGTCCACGTTCAGCGGCCACTGGTCCACGTTCTGTAGCTAGCTTAGGTCCTAGGTCATTAGCCTGTCCGTCCGGAGGAGCGGATCCCTTTCTCAAATGGGTCTCCCCAAGGTTTCTCACTTTTTCCCACTGGGTTTTTTAAGAGTTTTTCCTTGTCGATGCAGGAGGGTTTTGTTAAGTCCTCTGAGATGACTTCTGTTGTGACCTAGGGCTATACAAGAATACATTGTATTGTATTTTATTGATGGCATTGTGAATGCACAGAGATAATGTGATGAGATCCTGAGGCCCATTGTTGTGCTATACATCCATGAACATCACCTCATGTCTCAACATGTAGCTGAAGCGAATGTTCAGACGGAAAGACCAAGTGCAGATCCCCCCTCTGAAGCCTGTCAATCTCACAGCACTGCCAGCCTCGAGCCTCAGCCAATCACACAGCTCTGCCAGCCTCGTGCCTCAGCCAATCAAACTGCCCGGCCAGCCTCCTGCCAACCCTCTGGCACCAAGCGGGCAGTTTAAATGGCAGCCACTTCCTGACAAATAGCGCTTCCTGAAAAACCCACCACCTCCCCATCACCTCCTCTGGCTCCCGCTCTCAGCTCCTGCTCTGGCTCCTGCTCTGGCTCCTGCGCCGCCTACGCCCCATTCACACCATGCTTCTAGCCACCACCAGTGCTTGACCCTAGGGGATCTGAGATCATGTTCGGCTGCAATCGATCTCATCGCTGCAAGCGTCACTGCCGGGGGCAATGCGCCAAATAAATAAATCATTTGTACTAATTGTGTCTTTGGTCTCTTCAGATTGAAAATATAATGCACAGCCCCATGTTGCAAGGATCTGTACACAATTCTTGGAAGCTGAAAATGTTCCAGTTCTTGCATGACCAGCATACTCACGACATGTCACCCATTGAGCATGTTTGGGATGTGCTTCACCGGTGTATACAACAGAGTGCACCAGTTCCCACTGATATCCAGAAACTTCGCACAGCCATTGGAAAGGAGTGGACCAACATTCCACAGGCCACAATTGACCATCTGATAAACTCATCTGAAGATGTGTTGCTCGCTATCACACATTTAGTCAGATTTGTGAACAATGTTTGAGAGAAATGGTAATATTGTGTATCTGGAATGAATTTTAGATCTTTAAGTCCCTCTCATGGAATAGGGTTTAGGAGCAAAAACAGTATATTAGAAATCATATTATATTTTGCATACTAAGAAAGAGCCATGCGAGTCATTTTTGGTCTTTTGCGAGTTGATTGGCTGAGTGAGGGTGGTCCTCTTGTTTTCATTTTTCTGTATAGAACAAGCCGATCTAAAGATGTGACAGAGCCCAAAACATACATACATGATACTTTAAGAATTCAGTCTGTGTTAATTGCTGAATGCTGCATTTTTTTCTTCTGTGCTACATTTCAGTCCCCAGAAGGTTTCAGAATGTATTGTTAGACAGACATTTTGCAGTTTATCCGTGAGCCAGTCTGTTTTCTTCATATTTTATTGTACTGTTTTAATAAATAACAATAAATAAGACATATGCATAAATTTCTTCTAATGAGCCCATTGAAGGTAAATTTCCCTCATATTGAAATACCATCTACATATGTATGCCCCCCTTGCCTCACCCACCCTAATGTGCTAAGCACCCCTGAAGTTAAAAGTCTAAAATCTCCCCTAAAAGACACTATTAGTTGTGACTAAGGATCAATGTTGTAACAAACTTATAATGAATAATTAGACATCATCAATTTGACATCATCTGATGTTCATTTTGGCATGTCTGTGACAAGGCCGGACTCACCATGTGCAGGCTGCGGCAGTCCACCAGGGCCGTAAGCTGGTGTAGGCCAACCTCTGTGGAGTTGAGCACCGACTGGATCTGCTGAAGACTCCCCTGTGCACAGCGAATGCAGATATTACTATTATGGAAAAGGAAGAAGCGACTTAGGCCGGGAGCTAGAGTAGGTAAAATCCATGTATCATCCGTTCATTTGATTTTCTAAATAAAACCAACATTTAAAAAACGAATAACGAGGGATCTTTTGCAAGATTAAAATATTGGTTTGTTATTTTGTTTTCTGTGGATCCAAATAAATAAAAAATGCAGTAAACCAATAATTTTCCAAGTTTCCGCCATGTGTCAGGAGCAACCATGCAACATTTTAGGTTGATATGACAATGTATGTGGTTTCAGCACCTTCAGATTTACAATGACATCATTTTGTAAAAAGTGGACCCCAAAAAACTGGCCCAAAGTAAAGAGAACATAAAATATTAGTTTAAAAAAAACATAGCAAAACATATTACCTGGGGGGGGGGTCTGGCTGTCATTGTTTTCATTACCTCATCTTATAATTAAATTGGGTTTGCAAGATTAATGGCAATCAAATTAAAAGCTTATTCATAATAACATTTTGTTTGTTCCAACAGACACAAAATGCTGTCACCATGTTGTCTTACATAAGATAGAGGCCTGTAAGTCACTACTGTATATGAGCCTTTGGGTTGTGATTGGCTGAATGAGGGAAATGTCTGACAGTCTGTTTCTAGTGAGGGACATTCATATAAAGGAGACTGGAATTTCCCTTGAGTTTTTTGACCTGCAACAGCCCACGATAAAGGCAGTAATATTGTGAATTATGTTAAGTGATTCTTTCCTCCAAATCCTTCCATTTGAACTCCAAACATAGGTTTGTGTGTGTGTGTGTGTGTGTGTGTGTGTGCACTTGTTTTCAACTCCTAGTGGGTTCCATAACCTGAGATTCCACTCACGTCATGGGGACTGGTTTTACGTGGTGGGGCCCGAACACCGGACCCCACTGGTCCAAGCTTAATAATCAATGGGTAATGCTTTTCTAACAGTCCTTATGCAGTCTCTGTAAAAATATGGAAAGGACCCCTGGAGGTTTACTTTCCTGAAAAAAGTGTGTTATGTGTCGGAACCCTGGTGGTGGGTTGCGGGATATCAGGGAGGGGCACACTGGGGCAATTTCAGTCCAGCAGGCTGGAGCCAATCATGGAGCAGCACAACAGAGGAAGTCAGGTGAAAAGGTGCAAGTGTGTGGTTCATTAGGCTGCAAGACATCATGGAGGAGCACACTGACGCTTACAACCCACTGGTAAGTGCTGACTACAAGTCATGACTTCAAATTGTTATATAGAATTATTACAAATTATTTGTTGTTTGTGCAGCTTAGTCAAGAGTCCCTAATTGATGAAGTCGACTCAGATTCTGACGATTTAACTGTCAAGAAGAAACCTGTAAAAAAGTATGGAAAAAGAAAAATCAAAAACACTTTTCTTCAAGACTCGGAAAGTGACGAACCAAAGGCAAATAAGATTGTTATCATGCAGCTGCAAAAGAAGAAAAATGGGGGCAGGGTTTACAGCAAGAGACACTTCTGCCTCTACTGTTCAATGTCCTGCCACAAAATGTCCCGTCATTTGACTAGAAAACATGGAAATGAAAGTGACGTAGCCAGAGCATTGGCTCTACCTGTGAAGTCTAAAGCACGTAAACTTCAGTTTGATTTGATCAGGAATAGTGGAAACCGTGAGCACAATTTTGAGGTTTTAAAGGCCGGCATTGGAACTTTAGTCCCAGCTAAACAGCCAAATTCCCCAGTTAAATCCAGTGAGTTTTTGCACTGTATAGACTGTGGGGCATTGCTTAAGCGAAAGTCGCTGTGGAGGCATGTGGCCAGGTGCCGGCTTTCACAGAAAGATGCCCAGGATAAACCAGGTAGAAGTAGGGTCCAGTCCCTCTGCTCCCTAGCCCAGCCTGTACCGGAGGGCATCAGCAAAAAGCTGTGGTCTTTAATTTCGGCAATGCATCAGGATGAGGTCACGGGTGTTGTCAAAGCAGAAAAGGGGATTCTGAGACTCGGAGAGCACCTGTACTTAAAACACGGGCATGATAAGACTAAGCATGATTACATTAGGCAGAAAATGAGAGAAGTCGGTAGGTTAATTAACGAAGCAAAAACCGCAGGGAAACTGAAAACAATTAAGGATTTCTTTATTCCTTCCAACTTTAACCATGTGATTGATGCAGTCAGGTCTGTGGCTGGATATGATGAGGAAACAAATCAATACAAGACTCCATCCTTGCCCTCAAACTCGGCCATAGCCTCAGAAAGCTAGCAGATATTCTTGAATGTGACTCAAAAATGGAGCATTGTGTTGATGAACTATTTATTAAAAACCTCCAACGAAGCCGGCTGCTTTTTGAGAAGAGGTGGGACGTCTGTGTTTCTTCTGCTGCCCTACAGACCCTCCGGCAAGCCAAGTGGAACACTCCGGACCTGCTCCCTCTGACTGAGGACGTTAGAGCCATGCATGCACATATTGAGGTATGTCGACCTGAATATGTGCAAACCCTAATAAGTGAGCCAACGTCTAAGCATTGGTCTAAACTGGCAGTTTTGACTCTTTGTGAGGTCATCATTTTCAATCGAAGAAGGGAAGGTGAGGTTTCAAAGATGCCACTGACAGCCTTTACCTTAAGAAGTAAGACTGGGATCCATTCTGACATTGCTCTGGGACTGTCCCAACTTGAGAAAAAGCTGTGTCAGCATTTTCAACGCATTGAAATTAAAGGGAAAAGAAGTCGGAAAGTGCCGGTTCTTTTGACTCCTGAAATGATTGCTTCGATGGAGGTGCTGGTGGAGAACAGAAGGGCCTGTTCCATCTCTGACCATAACCCATACTTCTTTTCCCGCCCGGGCGCAGACACCCACATCAGGGGATCAGACTCCCTACGCCAGGTAGCCAAAGAATGTGGTGCGGCGCATCCAGAGATGCTATCCTCAACCAAACTTAGAAAGCACATAGCTACTATGTCTACAGTTCTCAATATGAAAGAGAATGAGATGGACATACTTGCCAACTTCCTCGGCCATGACATTCGCATCCACAGGCAATATTACAGACTACCAGAGGGGACACTGGAGCTGGCCAAAATCAGCAAAGTGTTGATGGCCATGGAGCAGGGAAGAGTGACGGAATTCGAAGGAAAGAGCCTCGACCAGATACAAATTGAGCCTGAAGGTAATTCTTGATATTATTAAAATATGTATGATTTTTTTCCCCTAAAGGCCACTTGTATTTTTATTTTCTGTGCGACAGGGAGAGCAGTAGAGATCCTCTCACAAACGGACGGGCTAAAAGAAACTTCAAGCGGAGAACCTTCAACCATTCATCCAGATGCACCCCATGGTAGTGGCAGTGCCCCTTCTGGTAAGTGTACCAGGTGGGGGATTACAGCCAGGCTGCTTGGTCCTCACCCTGGGAGTGTATATTGCTAATATATTTTTATTTCTCTCCCTAGAACGTGTAAGAAAGCCATGGTCTGCATCTGAGGTGAAGGCTGTGGAGAAGACCATGACACCTTTCATACAGACTGGAAAGGTCCCTGGGAAGTCTCACTGCCTGGCCTGCATTAATGCCTCACCAGATGACCTTAGACATCGGACATGGAGTGGCATTAAATTCTATGTCAAAAATAGAATCACTGCAATTCGAAAACAAAATCTAAAATAAAATTCCTTTAAAATAGTTGTTTGGTTTCTATTGACTGTTTTGTATTACTTAAAGTAGTCCCAGTAAAAAAAGATTATGTCTATGGGTCCCATTCTGAACGGCCCTGTCAAAGGGACCCACCAGGTAACAAAAACGTGTATGTGTGGGTGTGCAGAAAGTGTTTTGAGAAAAAAACCCAAGTGTTTAGGCTGTAGGACCAGGCACACGTTGAAAATCAGACTAAGTGTTTTGAGAAAAAAACCTAAGTGTTTAGGCTTTGAGGAGCCCGGAAAGCGGGGCTTACTTCCCCCGGGAATGGGCGCCCAGGCCCGGATCTGAGCGGGAGCAAAGCACACCCCGGTGGTAGCCCAGGTCCGGAGGAGTGCGTGGGTCCAAACCCCATGTCTCTAGCCCCCGTGGTTCGCCTTCTACGGGCCCGAGAAACCGCCACTTTCTTGACCGAGAATAGGCGCTCGTGAGCGGACACGGCCGCGCTGTCCCCCGGTGGTTTCCAAGGGCCATAACTTTCTGGTCCTTTGTCCCCCGCGCGTCAAATTCACACCGCGGGTACCCCTGGACCAGGGGAGTCCCTGGGTCCAGACCGCGAGTCTCTGGGCCTCTGCGTTGATTTTTAACGAATTTCCGGAGGCTCTCCCTGTATTCCCAGGCACACACGCTTTTGGAGCTCAAGCCCCTTTTACGCAGGCCGTAACTTTTTTGTCTTTCATTTCCCATGAGTGAAATTCAGGAGGATGTAGCCCAGGTCCGGAGGAGTGCGTGGGTCCAAACCCCATGTCTCTAGCCCCCGTGGTTCGCCTTCTACGGGCCCGAGAAACCGCCACTTTCTTGACCGAGAATAGGCGCTCGTGAGCGGACACGGCCGCGCTGTCCCCCGGTGGTTTCCAAGGGCCATAACTTTCTGGTCCTTTGTCCCCCGCGCGTCAAATTCACACCGCGGGTACCCCTGGACCAGGGGAGTCCCTGGGTCCAGACCGCGAGTCTCTGGGCCTCTGCGTTGATTTTTAACGAATTTCCGGAGGCTCTCCCTGTATTCCCAGGCACACACGCTTTTGGAGCTCAAGCCCCTTTTACGCAGGCCGTAACTTTTTTGTCTTTCATTTCCCATGAGTGAAATTCACGGAGGATGTAGCCCAGGTCCGGAGGAGTGCGTGGGTCCAAACCCCATGTCTCTAGCCCCCGTGGTTCGCCTTCTACGGGCCCGAGAAACCGCCACTTTCTTGACCGAGAATAGGCGCTCGTGAGCGGACACGGCCGCGCTGTCCCCCGGTGGTTTCCAAGGGCCATAACTTTCTGGTCCTTTGTCCCCCGCGCGTCAAATTCACACCGCGGGTACCCCTGGACCAGGGGAGTCCCTGGGTCCAGACCGCGAGTCTCTGGGCCTCTGCGTTGATTTTTAACGAATTTCCGGAGGCTCTCCCTGTATTCCCAGGCACACACGCTTTTGGAGCTCAAGCCCCTTTTACGCAGGCCGTAACTTTTTTGTCTTTCATTTCCCATGAGTGAAATTCACGGAGGATGTAGCCCAGGTCCGGAGGAGTGCGTGGGTCCAAACCCCATGTCTCTAGCCCCCGTGGTTCGCCTTCTACGGGCCCGAGAAACCGCCACTTTCTTGACCGAGAATAGGCGCTCGTGAGCGGACACGGCCGCGCTGTCCCCCGGTGGTTTCCAAGGGCCATAACTTTCTGGTCCTTTGTCCCCCGCGCGTCAAATTCACACCGCGGGTACCCCTGGACCAGGGGAGTCCCTGGGTCCAGACCGCGAGTCTCTGGGCCTCTGCGTTGATTTTTAAC